GCAGCCCGCCACCACCCCTCGTTCAACAAAAAAGGGGCCCGTGAGGATGCCACCCAGGGAAAGGAAGCGGCCACGCCGAAAGGCAAAGATGCAAGGGCGAGCAATCGGGGAGGGAAAACCGTGTCTCTGACATTGGGACATCAACTTGACAAGGTCAATGGTCTCGTAATACTTAAGCATATCATAAAACACACTGCACGAAACCTCTTTCGACGCTGTGCCATGCTCAGCCCGAACAGACTGCCTCCAAACGACGTCAGCAGCACCTCGATGCCCACCAGCAGCCCAGTACCTACGGGGGTGTTCTTGCTCCCAGGCGAGGGCGAAGGGGCGCCGCAGCTTCCCCCACACCCTGTACCAGGAGCAGAACACCCCTATAGGCCTGTAGCCGCCAGTGGGCTTCGAGAGAAGCGCGAGCAGCACGGCAGAAATCTGCTCGGGCAATTCACCGAGCGCTTCCATAACTTCAAACAAGACGGCGAGCGAGTTCAACGCATCATCACACAAGTACTGAAAGTGACGGCAACTGAAGCCATCATAGGCAACCGCTGAACCCCTCTTGTAAGTCTTGGAGACTTCCCTGATTTCGTCGGCCGAAACTCTCGGCAGAGTCGGACCAAGAGACGGGGGGCCCCTAGAGGCTCCAGATCCCTGGCCCCAAAAGGCGGCAAACTTGAAACCTTCCGAAGCCAAAAGCGCCAGGGGATCAGACGCGATGGTGCCATCAGCTGAAAGGGTGGTGGTGGCCTTCCAAGGGGACGGGTCCCTGGTAAACATGTGAACTCTTTTCGCTCCCTCATCCAGGCCAGCGCGAATCCAAGCTTGCCAACTTTGACGGGATCTCTTCTTGGCAGCAGACTGAGCATTGCTGACCGCAACGTCAATTTTGTCCCGAAGAGCCACGTCATAACACCTACCCCCAAAGAGATCCCGACAAGGCTTGGCGACAGCACGGGCAACCTCATCAAAGAGAGGCCGAAGAGCAGCAGAAACCTCAAAATGGTGCGGAGGCTCCTGTAGCAGCGTCGTCAGCGACTTCGCCTGAGGAGTATCGCCTTGGTTCGAATCCAGGAGCGAAGCTAGGGCCCGATATTGGACGCTGAGCCACCGCACAGCATGATGTTCAGGATCCCGAATAGCATGATCACGACCGACAAGCTTCTTCCAAACAAGCTGAGGGCCCTTGGATCTCGAACCAAGACAGGGGACAGACTGTCCCAAAATCGGCACAAGCTCAGCCTCGGCTTTGTCAGCCCAGGCAGCATAGCAAGGCGAAAGAAGCGACGATGCGCCCCTAGCGTCACCAACAGCAACACAATGGGAGGCCTGGTCAGCAAGCTCACGCACAAGACTCCAGTCAGGGGGTGCAGGACGCGGTCCTATCACAGCCGTGGCAGGGAGAGGAGGGGGCTTCCTGAAGCTGAGACCTTTCAACTTGCCGAACGAAGCATGCAACGCAACTTGCACCGGCCTGTGGGGGCTCAAGGTAGTGTCCTGAACGACCTCACAGCTCTTGACCGTTTTACCAAGACCCCCCGAAAACACAAAGTGGTCCAGGGAAGACGGAGGGCCCTCGCCAAAATGAGTGTGCCCCTCGGCCACCACAGGCAGCCCCACCAACTTCTCAGCGAACTTCGAACTGGCTAAAGTGCCTGGATCCATGTTGTAATCCCCTCCAATACAAAACGGAAGAGAAAGGGACGACATACGTTCCCCAATAGTGGCCAGGAGATCGACATTACGCTCAGACAACCCTTCAGAGTGATGGAGATAAACCGAGCAGAGAGCGAAACGATCACCTCGCGGGAGGTGCACTATGCCAGCAGTCGCCCTGCCAACAGCAACCACCGCCCCCCCAGGGGGCTCATGAAGGCCGAGAAAGTCTCTGACAAGGATGCAAGTGCCAGCAGACGTGGAACCAGAAGCGGTACCGTGGGCCGCGGTAAAGATGCCTTTCCACCCTTGGCGAGCACACCACGCCGAGGCTTGTGAGAGATCTTCCTCCTCTCGCATCCTGTGCTCCTGACGCAAGATAATGTGCGCAGGAGTCTTGGCCATGAGCTCCTTCATGGTCGACCATCGGTTGCAATTCACCGTGTGGATGCAAATCTCAAGACTGTCCAGAAGGGCCGAGCAGTGGCCTCCAGAGGCCTCAGGGGAACCCGAGGCGACGAAACTCACCGAAGGATCCGAGGGGCCGCTGAAAAACTCAACAGGACTGCTCGGCTGCAGGTCAACGAGCACTGGATATTCATCACACGGGTTGGCAAACCCGAACAAATGCGCCTCGCAAGAGGCAGCACTGTGAACAGCACGTGCAAAGCTGGCGATGCCAGAGGCAAGAACTCGCTTGGCCCTCCAAAGGGTGTGCTTGACGGCACCACTGAGCGACGAGTGCGATCTCTTAAAGGCAGACGGTCGCTTCACATGGGGAGGGGTCCAGCGGGAACGCCGAAAGGCAAAAGAGCTGAGACTGCACACTGAGGCCGAGCAAGATGGTGCCCTGGTGGCGCCAAGCTCACCAGTCCCGAAAACGGGTGCCCCCAGAGGCTGGGGGAGCGTCCTAGCCAAAGATTCCAAGCTGCTTCGAGCAAAAGGTGGGTACTGCTCGAGGGATCCCCCAGTTTTAACGAACGTTCCCTGGAGGTTCCCACGGCAAGACGGCATGTCCAGACAACCCCAGAAACAATCCAGGGATCCAGGATGCAGCTCAGGAGGAACGGAGGCCTCGAGGTCCACGGCTCCGAAAGAAAAAGACTGCCCTACTCCGTCAGCAGCAGGCTGAAGGTACCCACGAGGGCGAGCGTCGACTGCAGCTTCAGCGGGTGCGGGCTCTGCTTGCCAGCCTGGGCAACTCTCGTCTCCGCCCCAAGGTGCAAGGCCGAGGCCAAGAGCATTAAAGTCCCCTGCCGAGGGGAACGGAGAGAACATGTGCCAGGCTGGGCAAGTGAGCGCGCCGCTGGGTTGAACGTGTTCACGATGAAGGCCCCCCTGCTGGAGCTCACGCGGCAGCAGGGGGAGGGTCTTGTGCAGGCTGCCCATGCTGAATGATCTTGGCGGCCCGCTGGCGTAGAGCAGCAGAAGCGGTAGCTTCAGCATCCACCTCCGTAGGCTGCGCTGCTGCTGCCGCAGGACCAGTGGCAGAATCGGCTGCGGCTGCCTCAGCACCACCACCTCCGTCATCGCCAGGAGCTGCACCTTCGTCAGTCTTCCTCTTCTTGGCCAGGCGTCCAAGATGCTCTTTGTGTGCCTCCTGGATCTTCTTGGCAGTCTCGGAGGCCTGCGCGAAAAGACGCTGTGCCAACTTTTGGATGCCCTCTCGCAGCTGGTTGCCCCTCCTCTCGAGCTCCTCCTTGTCGGCCTCCGAGAGCTCGAAATCCTCGACGCCACCGAGCAGCTCCGAGGGGTCGATGACCAGCTTGTCGGTGAAGGACCCGTCCATGATCGAAGACAGCGAACATGGCACGGCTTTGTCAACTGGCTCCTTCTGCAAGTCAGCCGCTGACGTCTGAGCATGTAGGGCGGCCACAAGTCGACGATGCTCAGCGTCGGCCTGCTCGCACTCCTCAGTGAACTTGGTGACCAATGCACGCTGCTCCACCATCTGCGCCGACCACTCCTCGTACCTCTGAACAGCGCCCTGCAACTTCCGCTCGAGGCCGCGCAGCTTGCTGTGGGCCATGGAGACCTGGTGCTGCAGGGTGGGCTCCTTGACCGCAGGTGGAGGCTTGGCCAGCTCACGATGCTTGGCCGCTCCCAGCGCGTCGCCAGACTTGGCCAGCAACTCCGCCAAAGACGCATGCTCTTCCCGAGAGAGAAGGGACTCTGGCTTGACTGGACCGCCTGGTGACTTGCCACCTTTGCCTCCACCATTGTCGCCGAGCGCGAAGGTGCCTGGAGGCCCTTGAGCAGCAACAAAAGGGGAGAACGGCAGGCTGCCACTGAAGCCAGCTGACCAGACTCCACCAGGCGTGCCGAAGGAGGAGGGCGTGTATGGCTGGAACGGGGTCCACTGAGAGCCGCAATGCTTGCAGCGAGACCAGCGCATCTCGTTCTTCCTGCAGCCGCAAGCCGAGCATGTCCAGAGGGCTGGAGGAGCATCTTGTTGCAGCCCAGGAATGCGTGCAGCCCAAGGAGGAGGAGGAGAGCCGCCACCGTCGAACAGCGCGATCTCCCGCTCGAGGGCGGCCGCCGAAGGGAAGCTCTTGCCACCCTTGCCGCCCTTGTCTCCCTGACCTCCAGGGCCACGCTTGCCATAGCCGCCCTTCCCCATGGCGGCGAAATGATTATGAACGTGTGAGGGAACGGCCCTCTCCGAAGCTGAATGACTCGCAGGCACGAAGTGCCGTTTTGAATCCTGCACCTGCAACGCTCAATGGCTTGAGCGCAAAACGGCTAACCGTCTTTCCCACACCGCGAGTCGTTCTTTGACGGCCCCAGGGCTCGAGCATCGGCATCTGCAAGCCTCGAATGCAGAAAAATCTGAGACCCCATCTTTCCGAATCTCTGGAGTGTCTGGGTTCCTACACATCCTACGACCTGTTTTTCCCAATCTGCTCTGCGGCCCCAGGGCTCCAAATCCCTTCTCTGCTGGTAGCTTTGCGCCAGATCCGTTCTTGATGGCCCCAGGGCCCAAACTGGCGTCAGTGGCTGCCACTGGCATGGCCGCTGCTGGGCGTGCGCTGGACAGCGACCGCCCGGTCAGTAAGTATCGTCTAACAGATCCCCATCACCTCGGGGCAATGGTATCTCAGCCCCGCAATCTCGCCACCCCACTTGGGGACGGGCCACTCGGAACCCGAAGGCACAGCCTATATATCCCCATATCTGGCCACGCCCGTGGGAAGAGAAATCGGTTCAACGATGTTCAACTGGGCGTGCGCTGGACAGCGACCGCTGGTGGGCCGTCTGGAGTCTGGAGGGGGGGGGCTCTGGAGGCGGGGGCCGCCGCAGCCTCGGGGCTGTCCTGCCTGCTCCCCGGCCGCGCGATCTCGCGCGAGGTTCGGCTTCGAGGTGGACGACGTCAGGTGCCCCCGCGGGCGCGACGGGGTTCGGGCTGGCTGGGGATCTGAGGTGGCCCAGGACTGGATCTGGCGAGCAGGAGGGGGGGGGGGGGCGAAGTTCGAGGTTCTGGTTCGAGAAAGTGTTTTTTTGGTTCTGGTTCGAGAAGGTTTTTTTTTGTTGTTGCTGTTGTGGGTCTCTGGGGGCAGTCTTCGGGTCCCCGGACCGTCAAAAACGGACCCAGGGTACACCAGATGGACCGCGGGAAGGGCCCAGGGACCGTTTTCAAGCGGATTTGTGCAAATCCCTCCCTTCTTGACCGATGTTCTCTGGGCACATCCAGTTCAGACCCCCCAGCTGCCTCCAGTGAGGGGGAAGGGGGGGCGTCACACCACCCACCAAACCACCCCAACCCAACCCGAAGGCCACAATTTGCCCTCCATTCCCAGTGGGGGGGGCGTTGGGGAACATCGAAAAACTCGTGGAACCCGTACCCCCTCCAACCCGAAATTTGGATCTTCGGGTTGGGTTGGGGTGGTCTAGTAGGTCGTCAGGGCGGCTGGGCAGGACTGCTCACGGTCCGAATCGCTTTGACCTGACCCGACCTCCAGGCTGCGGCTCCGGCGATCTCGATCTGGCCCGCTTCAGTGCGGGCCGATGTCCTTCCTCTGGCCCGCAGAGGCCGAGCCCGACCCGCGACCCCGGACGGTCGTGCCCCGATCCGATCCCGCGCCGATTCGGGCGCGGTACGGTTTGTTTTCAGACCAGATCATGCTGCTGGTGATGGTGATGATGATGATGCTGCTGCTGATGCTGATGCTGATGCTGATGATGCTGATGATGGTGGTGGTGGTGGTGACGATGAGGATGATGATGATGGTGATGATGATGATGATGGTGGTGGTGGTGGTGCTGGTGAGGATGATGGTGATGCTGATGATGATGCTGATGCTGCAACTGATGATGATGACGATGATGATGATGTGATGATGATGCTGATGACGATGATGGTTATGATGCTGATGCTGCTGCTGCTGATGATGATGCTGATGATGCTGATGATGCTGATAATGATGCTGCTGATGATGCTGGTGATGATGCTGGTGATACTGACGATGATGCTGATGATGCTGATGATGCTGATGATGCTGATGATGATGAAGATGCTGCTGCTGCTGATGATGCTGATGCTGATGATACTGATGATGATGCTGATTATGATGATGCTGATGACGACGATGATGATGCTGATAATGATGATGCTGATGATGCTGATGATGCTGATGATGCTGATGATGAGGCCGATGCTGATGATGCTGATGATGATGATGATGCTGCTGCTGATGATGATGCTGATGATGCTAGTTAATGATGGTGCTGCTGATGATGATGCTGATGCTGATGCTGGTGATGATGACGATGATGATGACGGTGATGCTGATTCTGATGATGATGCTGGTGATGATGATGGTGATGCTGGCGATGCTGATGCTGATGATGAGGCTGATGATGATGATGATGATGATGATGATGATGATGATGATGATGATGATGATGATGTTGATGATGATGATGATGATGATGATGATGATGATGATGATGATGATGATGATTGATGATGCTGATGCTGATGATGATGATGATGATGATGATGATGATGATGATGATGATGATGATGATGATGATGATGATGATGATGATGATGATGATGATGATGATGATGGTGATGACGATGACGATGACGATGACGATGACGATCATCATCATCGTCATCGTCATCGTCATCGTCATCGTCATCGTCATCGTCATCGTCATCGTCATCGTTATCGTCATGATCTGGCGATTCGATCCGTCTCGGGCCTGCCAGAAGGGGCGCCTGGGCCCCAACGGGGCGTCTGGCTGCGGCCCCCGGGCGCGCGGAGGCCCAGTGCCCGTCGCAGCGCAGGCCTGGTGCTCCCCGTGAGGGGTCAATCTGGGAGCCGAGCGCGGGGCCGGCGGCGCGCCCTCATGCGGAAGGGGAGAGGGGGGGAGGGCTATTCCAAATTTGGCCCTCCCACTGACACATCGGTCCCCCTCCCAAAAAATCCCAGGGAGGGAAGGGGGGAGGGTTCCCCTCCCCGAAGGGAAGAGGGGTTGTGGAAGAGGAAAGAGAGCCTCCTCAGACCACCTGTCGCCCAGAGGGCTGGTGGGATTTCGTAACAGAAGGGAGGGGTTCACAACCCTCCCAGGCGAGCAGTGCTAGGCCCCTCAGACCCGCCACGAGAAAGGCGGCCTTTTGCCCAGACCCCACTTGAACCCTCCACGACAGTTCAAATCAGTCCTCCCCCGAATCAGACCACCACCCTTCTCTTATGAAATCCATAGCAACCAGTGGTGGCCCCCTGGGGGAGCCGAGCTGGGCAGGCAGCCCGCCTCCCTCTCGGGCGTTGCGTAATGGGCGGGGAGCGAGGAAAGGTGCACGAAAGGGCGCCCCCAGGGGGCAACACAAGTTGCTCGTCGTCTCTTACGCCCTCCCCTCCTGCCCGGGTCTCCGACGATGTGTTTTTTTCAATCCGGGTCTTTTTCCTGGATTTCGGCCTCTGGGGCCGGTTGTCAGGTCCCGGGGCCATCAAAAACGGATCCGGGGCGCAACGTTACCCCCAGGGAAGGGGTCGGGAACTCTGGGGCCGCGGATTGAAAACATCACGTCGGAGGATGTCAGGGTAGTTGCACGTTCCTGACGCCCCCCCCCCCTCGGCGGCTCGCCCGGGGGGAAGTGAGAGGGAGCAGGCCTTCTCAGAGGGCGGCGGGGCTTCTCAGAAGCCCTCCAGACTTTGCGAAGCCGTCCGTGTCTTTGGAGAAGGCTTATAGTACACTTCTCAGACTGCCAGAGGCCCCCCGAGCCTCCTGAGATCCTGGCCCAGACATGCGATGTCCTGATTTTTTCAGCACGGGGCCGCCGGAAGTCCCGACCCTTTAACCATGGCCGGTTTTACGCCCCAAGCCATTTTTTTGACGGTCCCCAGGGCCCGGCGAGGTCCCCCAGAGGCTGAAATCGGCCAAAAGCTTTTGCCCCGATCTTTTGACGACACGTTCCTGCCTGGGGATCGAGCCGCCTCAGGCCTGCCAGGAGGGACGCCCCCGAAGCGTTTTTTTTTTTTTTTTTGTCCGAGGAGGCCAGGGCGGAGACCTCTCGCCGCCATCGGTGCCGAGCGGGGCCCGTCCCGGCCCCCCCCCGGGGGCCGCCAGAGGACGGCCTCGGGCGGGGGGCGGGCCCCAGGAGATCTCGCTGGCCCTGGCTTGGGGTAGGGTCGGGCTCGGGCTCGCGGACTCCGGTTCGCGGAGCTGACAGGGTCGAGCGTGGGGGGCGGGCGGAGCCGGACAGAGTCGAGCGCGGGGGGCTTGGGGTGGGGTCGGGTTCGGGCTCGCGGAGCTGACAGGGTCGAGCGCGGGGGGCGGAGGGGGGGTACTCGAGCCTTGGCATGGTCATTTTGGGTCGAGCGCGCAACGCGTGCCCCGGGGGGGGGGGGTCGTGCCCGTGGGCCTCGGTTTTGCTGACGCTTTTTGACGAGCGCGTCCTGGATTTTGACGGTCCCGTTTTCGCGGGATGTTTGCAGCGGGAGCTCGTTTTAAATTTCAGATTGGGTCTCGTCATTTTCGCGATGGCCCCGTCAGGCCAACTCGAGTCACCCGTACCCGAGTCTTACGTCTCCCCGAATTTTGCTCACGGGGGGCGAGGCGCAGGCGGTGGGCGCGGACCCGACGGCGAGGCAGAGTCGGGCAGCTCGCGCCCCCGCAGCGAGCGCGAGCCCGAGCTTCGGACTGAGCACGAGCCCTGGCACCAGACCCAAAACTGCGAGCCCGAGCCCGAGCCCGAGCCCAGAACTGCGAGCCCGAGCCCGAGCCCGAGGGCCCGCTCGTCCCCCCCCCGCGAGCTCGCGCCAGGGTGGGGGGGGATGGCAGCGCGCCGAGGCCCCTTTGGCCGCGAGAGGTGCGCGGGGCGCGGCTCGGCCCCCCGGCGACAGGGGGGAGGCAGAGGATCGGGAGCCTTACGGGACGGGGGTCCATGCAAAAATGGGGGTCGGCCAGAGCGCCGGATCTCGCAGGATCCAGCAGGGCCAGGGTCGCACTGACCCGGGTCTGGGTGCAGGATCCTGCTGGATTTAACAGGATCCTTCGCATCGACCCGGATTTGGGTGCAGGATCTTGCGGGATTTTGCAGGATTCAACAATGCCTGACTGACCCGGGTTTGGATTGACCCGGCTCAGACGATCCCCGAGAGGAGGTGGGCCTGGGCTGGATCGGGGCACGAGGTCGGATCGGATCGCGAGAGGCCCGGACTGGGCCGCGCCCGACTCGGCGCGGAGCCTTTTGAGGTTCGGCGGCGAGCGAGGGGGAAGGGAGAAGGAGAAGGCCTTCCCGCCCCTTCTCAGTTCCCCCCGTGCTCGCCGCCGACTGGTGGCGTCGGGCCCCTGAACGGGTTCCTGGAAGCAAGTAGCAACTAGCTCAGTTCAGTGCGAAAGGGCCTGTAGTACTGCAGCGGTCGCGGCTGGCAGTCCCAACAGTTCCATCTCGAATGCAGATTTTGCTTCGGGTATGTATAAAGAGATGCCCAACAATGCCCCTCATCCATGATGCGTCGTTCGCGTGCCCAGCTAATTACACTCCGCAAAGCACCACCGACTCCTGGTACGAAGCCGCCGTCGCAGTCGGATGGTTAACGGATCGTTTGGCATCGGGGGTCCCCAGGCATGGATGCCTTCGCCGGGCCCCGGGACCCTCACAAAACGACAGGCCCCCTTGGGGCTTTCATTGGCCTTCTTGGGGCTTTCTTGTGCCGTCGTGTTGTCGTCTTTGGCCTCTTTCTCTCTCTTGGCCGTCTGGGGAGTCTCTTGGGGCTGTCTTGGATTTTCGCCGTCCTAGAAGCCTCTTGGCTTTCCGTTCGGTGGCATGGAAGCTTCTTGGGGCCCCTGTGTCGTCTCTCTCTCTCTCTCTCTCGAAGTCTTCTTGGAGGCTGTTGGGTGCCTCGTGAGGCAATGTCGAGCCACCTGGGCGGCATGGGTGGCTTTGCTGGGCCATCTTGGAATCCTTGGAGAGCCTTCGAGAGCCCCACAGAAGCTTCTGGCCGCACAGGGAGCCCTCGGGGGGGGACGAGGCACGCGCAGTTGTGTGGGGAGGAGGGGGCCCTTCGGAGACTTTCACCACAGATCCTACGAGGCCAGGCGCCACGGAGGCGAACACTACTTGCCCACCCCATCGTTGTCCCTCCCCGAGACGGAAGGCCAGCAGAGTACAGTCAACCCGCATAGTAAGGATGGGCAACCTTCCCACGTGTACCCTTGTATCCTTGCCTCCTCGGTCCATCCTTGGCCACTTTCGTTGGCCGCGCCGCGCTCGAGAATCTTCGAAAAGGCCTCCCAAGCCCCTTGCATCCTTACTGTACGTCTTTATGACACGGGCCGACTGTAGCCAGGAGTGGACCGTTAGAGGATCGCGCTTCCTGTCACCCACGCGGGCAGGTATCTCCGCAGCATAGGCCTGACGGACGAGGCGGAGGTCTTGGACAAGGCGGGCAGCAGCATCACACACAAACGCGCACACACGTACACACCTGCGACCACGGCAGGCTCGCACCGCCTCGACGCGGCGGCGACGCTGGTGCGGGCAGTCAGGGTGGAACGCCCTCTGGAGGCCGCCTCGGGCCCCGATGCCCACAGAGAGCGACCGGCGTCGGCAAACCCAGATGTGCGAAGGATGGGTCGACAGCCTCTGGGTGCCTCCAGTCAAGGTTGGGCGTCCCGCGTCAAAACGGAGCTGACGTCGTCGCGGCAGGAACCTTCCGTACTCTTGCTACGACTTCCTCTTCTTCTTCGGTCCTTTTTTCTTCTGCCTCCTCTCGAGAAGCGTCGACGTCGTCGGGCTATTCATGGCTGTAGATTGGGGAGGGGGGAGGGGAGGATGAGGAGGAAGGAGGAGGAGGGGAGAGTAGCAGGAGGGAGACGGTTGAGGGAAGACGATGACAGGCAGAGGAGGCAGGGGAAGGAGGGAGGGTTGTAGGCAGTGGAAGAGGAGGGTAGGAGGAGGAAGAGAAGGATGGCACGCAGAGGAAAGGGAGGAGGGAGGAGGAGAATGATCAGGGAAGGCTAGGAGGCGAAGCGAAAGTGGGAGGCTAGCTAAAACGGGAGGCGAACGAACCTGGGAGGCGAGCGAAAGTGGGAGGCGAGCGAAAGCGGGAGGCGAGCGAAAGCGGGGGTGAGCGAAATTGAGAGTGTTCATCTTCCAGTTCCGCTTTTTCTTTGTCGTGAATTTGTCTCTCGTCATGTCGTTGAGTCCGTCTGTTGTCAGACGCGCGTGGCCATGAGGAAGGAGACGCTCCCTGGAGGGCCTAGGGATACACCAGAAATTGCCCAACCCTTCAGAACTGATCCAAAGTTCCCAGGATGCACTGTCGAAAACGAGCACAGGCCCCAGTTGGCACAAGCAGCCCCAACACCGCCCTGCCCACCCCCCTCCCGCCTCCTCCCCCGCCCCATTCCCTTCTCCTTTACTGCCCTCCGTTGCTTGGCCACCGTGTCTTCGCCTCTCTCCCCTTCCCCTCCGCCGACCCGGTTCTGGGCGCTGCTTTGTGGCCCGGCGCCCGCTTGCCACGGGGCCCCAGCCCGGCGGACCTTTGGCTGGCGCGGGCACGGGTCCGCATGCTCGTGGACCCCCGCGGGCAGGCCCAGAAGGAGAAGCAGGCCGTGGAGAACGCGAAGCAGGCGGCAGGGATGAGGGGGCGCGCGCGCGCTTCGCCAGCGCGTCGCCGTCGTCTCGGATGTTTTGGTCGTTCACGTCGCCACGGCTGGGCGCAACACGAGAAACGGGCCAGGGTGGGTCCTAGGAGTGGTCCGGGGGCAGACATCGGGCGTGCCAGCAAAAACCGAGACGGGCGTTTTTCTTGCCACTCGGGGCCCGTGGATGCCAGTTGCAGGCCCCAGTGCGTGTGCAGCATGTGCGGCATGTGTAGTTGTCCTGATCCTTTTCACATTCCGACGCAAGAGGCTTCTGTAGTATCGCCGTCCCCCGTAGACGGGGCGACTGTAGTTTGGTCTGCAAGGGTTGCTCGAGTACGGCATAGCGTGGGAGGAATACGAAGATCATTGTGATGCCCAGGAGGGGCACAGAGGCAAGGGGGAGGGGAAGTGGGTGGCATGTTGGTTTGTTGGGTCCTCCTTTTGGGCCTCCTTTCGTTTGTTCTCTGGCATGTCGTTCTTGACTGAGGGCTGCAAGAAGCAGGATGCTGGTGTAGAGGCGAAGGAGGAGGAGGAGGGCGCACATTGCAGCAGTAGGAGTAATGGAGATGAGGGGTTGCGAGAGCGTGAGCTTCGAATGGCCAACCGTGTTTATCCATTCTGGTCTGGCATTGCCAACGACAGTACAGGAGGCAGTAATTCTTGACGCTTCGCGCCTCCCCACCAGCCCATCCCAAAACAATCACCAGGCGAGTCGCTCTGATCAGGGATGTGCAGCAGCATGCAGTTATACTCTGGGACCCTCTTGGAGGCATCTTGGGGCCTTCATGGGGCCCTACTGGGGCCATTTTGGAGGCTTTCTGGGCCCTGTTGGGGCCCTCTTGGGGCCCTCTTGGGGCCCTCTTGGGTTGGGGCCCTCTTGACGCTCTCTTAGGGCCATCTTGGAGGCCTCGGGGGGCCTTTTGGGCCCGACTTGGAGGCCATCGTTAGAATAAGGCGGCGGCGCTCATGTCAGCCCCCCCGTCGCGACCCTCAATATCGCCTCTTGTGGCCCTCTTGGAGCGCTCTTGGGCGCTCTAGGGGCAGTCTTTTGGCCACTCTTTGCCCCTCTTCGGGCACTTTGGCCATCTTGAAGCCATCTTGAGGCCTCAAGAGCCCGTCAGAAATGAACATACGATACTCTAAAGGAGGCTGGGGCAAAGGCGAGAGATAGCGAGCGTTTGTCCGCGGCCGTTTGTTCTCAAGCGGCCGGCCGCCAACACATGACTGTGCCTCATCGCGAGGCACACTACTTGCCATTGGGACCGGAAACATCTTCGCTTGACATGGCCCGTCGCTCCCGCGACGATCTCCTACTTCTGGGACTAACGTTACTACGGTACAACAGAGTTGGACATGGGCTTCGCCTTAGGCGAAGCTTTTGGTTGGGCTTCCCAACCCCCTTCAAACTTGGTAGCGGAGCTGGCCTATGGTGTTCAGCTCTAGCTCTACTCCTCACAACCCACGGCGCTACCTGGTGGACTACTGGCATGGTGGAACATCAGGGTGCAGTGGGTCTGCGCGGAGGAAAAGACATGACTACGCGCAATCGCAAGGACACTTGCGTGCTACCCCCGTTCTCGCGGAGGCCTCTTACATGAGTCCCGCTTCCCTGCGCTACTACACTCCTGAAGTCCACCCTCCTACTCCACTTGGGAACTTTTTTGAAGATTCAATGCGTGGTAACATGCGATACGACATTGTGCCGCCTCCACCCCCACGCAGGTTAAGTAGCATACACCACAAGCCCCAGCCACAAACGTCCTCTTCGTCCTTGTCGTCGTCCTCCTCCTTTTCCTGTTCCTTTTGCTCCCAGGTCGCGGCGAGACGGCGGTGGGTGGAGTCGATGCGCCGCGGCGACCCAGTGCGCCCCGCGGCCCGCGTTGCCCCCTTCTCTTCCGCCAGTGGGGCGCTTTGCCGGAGGGGGCTTCGGAGGGGCAGCGATTAGGTCGCGGAGGGAGCAGCAGGAGGAAGAGCAGCAGGAGGAAGAGGAGGAGGAGGAGGAGGAGGAGGAGGAGGAGGGGGAGGAGGAGGAGGAGGAGGCTGCGGCTCGGCTGGCGGCGGAACTGGCTGGCTGAGCGGCCGCGAGGCGGTTTGCTACCAGGGATGGCGACTGGTGCTGGGCGTGGGAGCGGGGCAACTTCTTTTTCGCGGTCCCGTCGAAGTTCAGAGGGCCTGCTTCGTTCTGACCTCTCGGCTGTCTCATTAAGGGGCGGGGGAGGAGGAGGAGGAGGAGGAGGAGGAGGAGGAGGAGGAGGAGGAGGAGGAGGAGGAACACCGTATTCGTTTTGGAACAAGTTGAACCCGCGGAGTCTTCGCGGCATCAGCTTGATCGCAGGCGACGGGTTTGGCTCGAGCCCCGTAGCCTTTCACCATCCGATCGTCGCAGGAGCCGCCTGGCGCTGTGAGTCGTTTCGGCCTCGCTTAAGGATTCGTTTCTGTGGGTACAGCTGTCAGCGTAGCGAGAGAGATATGGGTGACAATAGGGTGGACCACCAGAGGCTTATGGAAGGCCTCGGTCAGTTGGACGACGGACCGACATTTCCCGCATCCGCAAGGGGAGGGAACAGCTCGCCGCCCCGAAAAGACAATTCGAGACGGTCCACGACAGGCACGTGCTGTCCTGGCCAAGGGGATGCCGATGGCTTCGATGCCGCCAGTGAAGAGGGTCCGCATGATCGTCGCGCTGGTGGCCCTGCTGGTGCTGATGGCGGGCAGGCGGCAGAGCACAACGGCAGCGTCCAGAATTTACGGGGGTCAAGGGTTGTGCCGGCTGGGCCAAAGATGGTTTATTGGCAGCCATTGTGCAATCCCGTGCCACAGGGCTGGCAACTACGGTTCATTCATGATGCGCGTTGTTATCCAAACAAATCGAGCAACGTGCCAATACGGTCGAGAAAAAACGCGACGACAGCACCCGTCGTTTGGCTGTTCATCAAGCGAAGATCGTGCCAGTCCCGTCCGTATACGAGTCATGCTGTAACACCCATGCCTGCCATTCTTATTGTTCCCATGTTTCTAAAGCCGCCTCTGTCGCCGTGTACTTCTCAAGCAGTGATATATCAACGGGAGCGGTTTCACTTTGTACGTGTGCAGCGGGATTCGTTGTTGCGTGGCGCCGCGGGCCACGGTTTGATACGTTTCAAGTCGTATCATGGTGGTTCATGTTTCGCGTATGCCCACCAAGCCATTCAGATACGATGCCCAGCGGAGCTGCTCTGAACGGGGGAAGGTGGCATCATTTGGAGATCTCGGGGGCCTTGTGTGGGCCAGAGGCCCCTCAGATGTCTCCTGGGGGTCTGATGGGATCCCCCAGGGGCCTTTTAGATTCTTCTTGGGACGTTTCGGGGGCCTCTTGCTGGCTCTTGGGGGGCCTCTTGGAGCGTTTTGGGTGCCCCTGGGGCGCTTCCTGGGGCCTTCTTGGGCCCTCTTGGCCCTCTTGTGGGCCTTCAGAGGCCTCTTGGGCCCTCTTGGCCTTCTTGGGGTTCTCCTGAGAGCTTTTCGGGGCTTTTTGGTGCCATTGAGGAGGTCTTCGATTAAACAAGGGGGAGTCCGTAGCAGCATCGCCCCGCCAGGAGGTCAATGGTTCACAACCTACGGAGGATCAACGGCTTTTACTTTCTCGGTGGGGCCATCTTGGAAGCTCCGACGACCCGCGACCCAGACCCAGGGGAAGTGGGCAGGGGGAGGAATACGATGGGGCCCAGGCCACGCCGCTGGGGATGGGGATCGGTTAAACGATGCTCAATATTACTTAATCATGCCTTGGAAGCTGGAACTGTTTGGCAGGGAACTGGAGGACCTCCGCCTCGCAGCCTGATGGCCCCACAAGGGTTACATGTCCATACGCCCCTCGCCGAGAAGATCGAGGCGGAGGTGGAGGAGGTTGAGTGAACGAAGGAGGAGAAGGAACCAGTGGGGGAACGTGAGGAGGACGAGGAGGAGGATGAGGAGGAGGAGGTGGAGGAAGAGGAGGAGGACGAGGAGGAGGAGGAGGATGAGGACGAGGACGAGGACGACGAGGACGAGGAGGAGGAGGAGGAGGAGGAGGAGGAGGAGGAGGAGAGGAGGAGCAGGAGGAGGAGCAGGGGGAGGAGCAGGAGGAGGAGCAGGAGGAGGAGGAGGAGGAAGCAGAAGACGGAGCAGGCTCAGCAGGAGTTCCTGGACGTCTGGGGACGTCTGGTCCCTCGCCCTCCCTCCTGGTGGAGGTCCCGCGCCGAAGCCAAAAGGGGACTCTCCGCCGCCCCGTGGGGCCGAGGTGCACTTCGGCCTGTCGTGCGGGCGCTGTGCGGGCCCCAGCGCGGCAACGCCGGCCCGCCTCGATCTCGCGCCGTCTCGCTCGCCCTGGCCCTCCCCCTCCTCCCCCTCCCTCCCTCCTCCTCCTCCTTCCTCCTCCTCCTCCTCTCCTCCTCCTCCTCCCTCCTCTCCCCTCCTCCCCTCCTCCCTCCTCCTCTCCTCATCCTCCTCCTCCTCCTCCTCCTCCTCCTCTTTCTCCTC